CCCACGGCCTTGGTGTTATCAGCACCGCACTCTACCGAGTGAGCCACGGGCCGGCCCTATAACTCATTTCTTATAAGGCAATTTACTCAACTACATCTAAATTGTCTCGTTTGTAAATGAGTAATACTAGCAGCATATTTTTTTAGTTTCATTGTGAGGATTAAGTACATTTATATCCTTTAGACCAGTTTCTGGCTAGTATTGAAAGTGTTCTAAGTAAGAGCTGCTTTTATTACTTCTTATGGTTATTTTCATAATTGTGTATTATTAGAGATCATATGAGAGGAAGACCTTATATATGCAGTGACTTTAGGAACATCTTGGATCGTTTCTTTTTTCTTTATTGAATGTTAGGTAATTCTTTCTGGAGAAAAATTTAAAACTGCAAAAGTTTCATTCATTGTTCACTCTTTTGCCTCGTCAGGGGATTCATAATTTAAAGAACATCAGTAGAATAAAGGTGGGTTGCTGTGAGGTCATGGGGAAGATTTTGATTTACTAAAATCTTTCAAAAAACAAAAGACATACCATAATCTCTGACCTCTGGTCTAGGAAAATAGAAAAAACAAAGCCTTAGCTAAAGTCCATTTCTCTACGAAACTTAAAAGATACCTCTCTAAATAATTTATATTAAAAAGGAAATTGAGGCAAATCACCCTTAGGAATGAATGGCAAAGAGGACACTACATGTCAACAAAATTTGTAGGATGTGAACAAAGTCATACTCTGATGAAAGTTATTTTAAAATATGTAGAAAACAGGCAACTAAGGGTGAGGATTCATTCTGATTTCACTACACTTGGTTGGTACACTACCTGTAGTAGATTCTCAGTAAATATTTGATCAAAGGAATGAGAATGAATAAGCATTAACTCTACTGTGTGGAGAATCTCATAAAATAAATGCAGAGCAGAAAGAAAAAACTTTGAAAACTTTTTGAAATGAAAAAAATTACACCCTATAAAGAAAAAGCTCAAGCATCGTGAATGAGAAAGAATATATAACTATAAAAATGGAGGGAATTTTACAGAAACAAGGCTCTGTTGTACCGGCAGACATTGCTAGCTGCCTGTGCAATTAACCATTTTCCCTTTGCCAGAATTGCCTGCTGCTCACCTAAGTCTATAAATGCCAGATGTTTGCTCTCTGAGCTTGCTTTGCATCTGGTCATATGTATAATAGTTCCAGTCACAGAAGATCTGAGCAAAAATCTGCAAATGAGCTTCAGTTAAATTTTCATTTCTAATAAAGTAGGAGGAAATGGACTTCTTAAATACAGGATGCACGTCTATATGTCTGCGTGATTCCTGGAATTGTGGCCATTTTGCAACCAGAGAATCCAGAGGCTGAGATTAGTATGGGGTTGGTTGGAATTACTTGTGTCCTTGACGTTAATCTGATGAAACAATTTAGAACTGCCCTATCACTGGACTTGTGTGAAATAAGAAACTCCATGCATGTGCAGTAAGTTTATACTCAACTTTTTAAAATATATGAGTCCTGGAAAATTATCATTTAAAAGTTTTTTGTATATGTATATACACACATTCAGCTTTAGTAAGATGAAAAAAGTTTATATTCAGCTTTTTATACTATATCTGACATTGTAGAAAATTATTTTATTAAATATATAGTTGAAATATATACATATATTCAAATTTGATTTAGTAAGGTGTAGGAAATATTTGCATTCAGCATTTTATAGTATATGTTTATATTCAGCTTTTTATAGTATATCTAATATTCTAGAAAAGTCTTTTCCTGAATAAAGTAAAAACCAAGAAGAAACCGATTAAAGAGCTACATCATATAATTCCTCTAGTGCCAGATTATCTAACAGATAAAATTCTAGCTATTCAATATACTGTGAAGCTAGCATAACCTTTTTACCAAATTTGGAAAAGGACAGCATCCAAAGTCAAATTAGCTATAAAAAAACAATCCATTGTACTTAACGTTATATGAGTATTCCAATTAGAAGAGCAAGTCAGATCTAGCAACCTATTAAAAGAACATGATAGGTTATTTATCCAGAATGTTTATGACCTGGTCACGTACAATATAGTGTTTACAGATTGGAAGCTAGGCATAAATAACTTATCCGCTGAAAGTAATAACAGAAACTAGTACCGCATATGAGTCAACTACTGTGAAGTCAGTTCAGTTGTCCTGGTCTATAGACATTCACAACA